GGTACACTAACCTAGAACAAACGCCTCTTAACAGATGTCAACAACTACCGGCGCCTTACAAACGACTTAAAATAGTCACCAACAACAGTTCTTTTCAGAACTACACTCACCCGGATGATCACACTATACGAACTACTGTAAAATGGTCTATTCACAGTATGGTGCGCCTTTCCAATCAATATTCAAATACCTTTATTCTGGTATTCATCTGAACTATTTTTATTTTTATTTCCTTTCTGTGTGCTTTTCAAGTTTACTTTTATATTTTATATCCCTTCCTGTTATTTTATATCTAAACGTTTCGGCCATATAGCTTTTATTTTGTTCTCCTTATTTTATATGCGTTTTAGGCATGGCTAGATGACATTTTACGATAAATTGAGTTGGATGTCCTTTCTGAAAAAGAATTTTCACATCAAAGTTACTTCAAACGCAAAGAAAGAAGATTATACAAACAATATATCTAGTCAGTTTGACACGAGGAAGTAAAAAGCAACAAAAGCAGGGTCCCCCGACTGGCGTCGAGCGTATATATGCCCTTCCGACCGCACAGCAGGTCAGATGCGTAACCACTGGGCTACCGGGGAGCTCCTGGACTACGTTAGAAAATTTAACAGCTAAAGACGTTAAACAACAATATAGTTGTTACTAACAAGCTAGCTAGTCTTCCTTTTGCAAATGTGTCGTTAGTAAAACTTTCATGTTCCATTTGCTCTGGTATCTCTGGTCTTCGCATAACTGGTTTCATGCTAACAAAGAGGGCTAAAAAGATTCAAGATTCAAGACAACGTAAGGTAGACACCCCTTGTTAAAAAGCATTTTCACATCAAACTCACTCTAAACGGACGAAAAGAAGATTATACAAAAAATGAATGTATTCAGTTTGACATGAGAAAGGAAAAAAAATAAAAGCGGAATCCCCCGACTGGCGTCGAGCGTATATATGCCCTTCCGACTGCACAGTAGGTCAGATGAGTAACCGATTGGGCTACCGGGGGACTCCTTGGCAAGGTTAGAAAATTTAATAGCTAAATACGTGAAACAACAATATAGTTTTTACTGACAAGCTAGCTTATCTTCCTTTTACAACTATGTCGTGAGCAAAACTTTCAGACCTGTAGGAGATTGGCTTCTTAATACAGAACTTATAGCCTCTCTCATGATTTTCGTTTTGCTAACAATAGTAATTCGCAGTCCTAGGAAACATAGCTGTTAAAGCTTAAGCTAAAGTCCAGTTCTGTGCTTAACTCCCAAAAGATACAAACAAAACTATTATGAAGAATTTTTAAGTAATTTGGAATCTTTAGAAAGCTTTTTTCAAGTCGGTTGTTAAATCATACGTTTACGACTAGTGTTATATTTGCTCTGATATCTCTGGTCTTCGCATGACTGGTTTCGTGCTAACAGAGAGGTCTTAAAAAGAATCAAGACATGGCTAGATGGGCATTTTACGGTAAAGTAGGGTGAACGCCCTTTGTTAAAAAGCATTTTCACATCAAACTCACTCTAAACGGTAGAAAGGAAGATTATACAAAAAATGAATCTATTCAGTTTGACAAAAGAAAGAGGACTGGCGTTGAGCGTATATATGCCCTTCCGACCGCACAGCAGGTCAGATGCGTAACCGATTGGGCTACCGGGGGACTCCTTGACTAGGTTAGAAAATTTAACAGATAAATACGTTAAACAACAATATAAGTGTTAATGACAATCTAATCTCAGCTTTTACAAATGTGTCGTTAACAAAAACTGGAGACCTGAAGTAGATTGGTGTATTATTAGCTTATCTCCACTCTAATGATTCTCGTTCCTGTAACAAT